ATTGATGTAAAGAATGTGTGGTTAAAAAGTAAGAAGAATTTTTGGGTTTATGTGTAATATTATTTTATTTGAAAAATGTGTGATTAGAAATGAGTACTGTAGAAAAATGAGAATGAGAATGAGATAAAAAAATGGGTGTCAAACGGAGGCTTAATAAGTAGGATAGCCAACTTAACTTAGAGGTAATATTACTTTATCTTTTTGGTCATGGAATCCAGAACAAAGAGGCTAAGAGCGTTAAGATTATTTGAAAAATATAATCTAATGCTTTTGAATAAATTAATTACTTACTTACTTAGGCCCTGTTTGGGAGGAATTAAATTTTTCTACAGTAAATCAATTCTCATTTTCAACCACACATTCTTCAATAAAATAATATTTTCCATCACATCAATAATTTTTTCTTTTTTTTCAACCACACATTTCCTATCATATCACTATTCAAAAATCAATTCTTCTCTCGAAAATCCCTACCAAACAAGCTCTCAGTTCTGACTTATAGATTGTTGTGTTCCTAAAGTTAATTTATAATTTATATTTAGTTAATATAAATGAAACATAATAACAAAAATACAACATGTAAAACAGTGTTAGGATTGATACCACTTGTTGTGACACCAATCACCGGATTGAGATATTGAAATTATATGACAAATAATAATAAAGTATATGATCAAACAAAAGAATAAAAGAAGACAAGAATATGACAGGAATTAAAAGATTTTATTGCATCAAGAATAATGGAGAAGACAGTAAATTACAATATATCCTAGAATTATAGTAATCTATTTTCTCACATGTAATTGTTACGAAAATTGTATAGAAGAACCTAATATTTATAGAGAATATGTAGGAGACGTTCAAACCCTCTTGATAGAGTTGTTGATGAAGTGGGATGCTAAAAAATAGAATCCAAAACGAAGTAGGAGAGAAAAAATCTCGATCAAGTTATTGTAGCAGCGCTCAGGGGCTAGGTTTCGGGTTAATATTCCAAAACATGCTTCCAAAGTGTTTTTCTCCATTCCGAACTCTTCTTCAAGTCTAATATCAATTTCAACCTCCCAATGTGTTTCCAAAATAGAATTTCAACTTGAAATAGGACTACAATAGCATTCAATTTAATATCAACTTTCAACTTCCAACGGGCTTCCAAAATAAAACTTCAGCTTGATATAAGATTTCAATAGCATTCCAAAATTGAATTCTTCTTGATGTTCACTACAATTAGAATTCTTTAATACTTCAAAGAAGGAATTCGGGTCACACCCAAATTCTAACAATCTCCACCTTGACACAAATTCCACCAAAGAATGAATTGTCTTCTTTAACAATAACCAAAAGAATTAATTTCTCCAACCAAACACAAGATACTCCACATTTTCCAAT